GGCGGATTTTGGGTGGAACTTGTACCAGGTTTATCTTGGGCTACTAGCTCAAGTCCGGACTGTGGTGATTTATCTCTCTGTATTGAAGAGGCGACTCCAACGGAAATACCTACCTACCTCCTGCAATAGAAATATTATACATAAGGTTATCTATGTAGGTACTATTTATTATTATATTACATTGTTCTATTATTTTAATACTCACCATCTAGTCGTTTAATGCTTGGGTTAGAATCTCCTTCTAGTATTTCATTTAGAAGCTTTTGCCATTCGCTGAGTATAATGGATGCGTTTCCGGTCTGCTTCAAATCAATCTTTTTCCCAAACGGGTTTTCATGTTGTTCACCTTTTTCATTATCTGTCCCTCTGTCATAGTACTCCACAGTTTTGCTGCAATTCATTTTTCATTTGATGTAAGGAAATTTCTTTTTTTGTTTCGCGACTGGAACTTGATATTTATTTAATATACAGTGTCATTACTTAAGTGTGCAACATATGGGATTTTTTTTTAGTAATAGCACAATCAAAATACAAACAAGGCCAAAAGTTGGTGCATGTCTGATAATCATATTAGGTGCACTTAGAATGGTTGCAAGTCAAACAGCATACAGGGTGGCTCAAAAAATATCAAAATTCTACTAATATTTACTTAAATAAAATAAAACCTTTGCACTTTAAGGAGAATTTTTTTAATATGGCTATTATCATCAGTAATGTTTTAACTTGTAAAAAAAAAATTGCGACATTTTAAAGTTGTGTTGAATATCATTGCAACAAACATGAATTTTGTGATTCCATAAAAAATTAAAAATCTAAAGGCGAGTTTAAACAACTTCATAACTTTAATTTAGTGCGTAATTCACAATTTAGTGCATAAACTTTAAAGTTAAATTTATTAATTTCTATGGAAGCGTTTATACATCTATTTATTGCTCAATTCATAATTTAGTTCATAATAGGAACCTTGAAAGTTCCCAACTATTAACTTTTATGCATTAAATTATGAAAAAACTGGACCTTTCGAGTTCTGTCAGTGTCAAATTTGAAAATATCAATAGAATATTAATGACATTTCAAAAATTATGTATTAAATTATGAAGTTGTTTAAACTGGGGTTTTGAGTTATGTATTAAATTACACATTAAATTATGAAAAAATTACGACATAAATTTATCAAAAGTTGTTTAAATCCGCCTTAAGTTAATTTTACAAATATGCTTGAATTTGAACAAAGTTATGTAAAATTAATTTGATTTTAATTAATTTTTGAAATTATTAAGGGCGGAAATAAAAAATAAAAAAAAAATATAGAAATTATAGATTTTTTTCGAAAGAAAATAAAAAAAATCTTAGGAGGCTATGTTTTGGTATTTAGGCCTAACTTTTAATTCCAAACAACTTTTCTCTATAACATTTTGCTGAATTTTCTAAAATAAGGGTACTTTACAATACAGCTTTGATATTGTTTGAGCTACCCTGGATGCTGTTTGACTTGCAACCATTCTAAGTGCACCTAATATGATTATTAGACATGCACCAACTTTTGGCCTTGTTTGTATTTGGGTTGTGCTATTACTAAAAAAATCCCCACATGTTGCACACTTAAAAAATCACACTGTATAGGTATTTATATTTCTTTAGTAACTGAACAAATGCCACATCAGATATATCGTCGTTATTAGTTTCCATTTTAAAATCAAATAACCCCAAAAGTCCAAGACCGCTAAGAAACGAAACGACTGACCTGTAGTATTGAGTATTCATCATTTTTTGCAGGTTCAGACATGTTTTTGTCTAAATCCAAAACACCCCCATTCCACTTCGCGCTATACTGTGCGTTTGAGCATATGCTCAAGATACTTGAGTTCAAGCTAGAAAATGAGCGAATGCCCAGCTTGTGTTTATTTTTACCAAGCAACAGTGAAAGCCCAGACTCTGCCCTCATACTCCGAGCATTTACTCCGTGCTCAGACTCATGTTTATTAATACCACCTATTGACTGTTACCCAAGCATCAGCAGAAGAGAGTAAACACAGAGACGAATGGAAAGATCCGTGCTTGGACTGAGTTTGGAAAATCGAGTAAGGAATAATGAGATCCCCATAAGACGATATTGTAGAACGTATCGCAAAACAAAAGTGGAAATGGGCATGCCACGTCACAAGATCTGAGGACTGGAGATGGACGAAGAAACTCATTGAGTAGAGATCAAGAGCCGACAAACGAAACTGAGGAAGACTTCTCACTGGCCGGACAGACGCCCTTAAAAGGATCTCATCAAATTGGATCGCAACTGCTTAGAACAGAGACAACTGGAAAATTTTCGAGGAGGCCTTTGTTGAACAATGGACGTGAAAAGAGGCTGTTTGATGATAATGATGAATTGTACGGATACCTTCTTCCCTAGCCATAGTTATTTACGGGTTTAGTTCATATTTGGACTATGTCCTTCAGCTCTTGTTGGTTACATAGTCGATGGTTACATACTCAAGGGCGCCCACAGGGAGGGTCAAGGGGGGTCACTCGACCCCCCCCTGGAAGTTTCTTAAATTTTAATTATTTTCTATATATACCTATTAAATTGTAGGTCCGATGATGCTCGTATGAGCGAAACGGGCATACTTGAATTCGGCCACAAACCAGGTAGCTGCAGTAATCCTACCTTTGAATTGGACCAAATCATGAAACCCAACCTACTTCCCATAAAACTCACCTTATGATGTTGACAGATTTCGCATTGCATATGAGTTAATAAATCTAAAAAAGTGTAAATATGTATTTTGATGCGCAAAATAAAAAGATCTACCAAAATGACTATGGAATGATTCACAGGCATTTGTTTGCTTATCCAGGTCTATCGAGGCATGTGCCATGTGTCGATGAGATAATCTGAAAATTTAACTAGAACTTCGTGATTCGGCTAAATAGCTAGCAACTCGAAAACAAAGAAATCGCTAACTTCTTGATTCTCTAAAAACATCATTCCGAAACAATTATGTAACGATTTACCGATTTCTGTTTTTTTTTTATATTCAATGCTTAAGCCTAAGTTTTGGATCTTCCTCTACCATGCCTGAGATTTTAGCTATCTATAAGAAGTAAATAAGTTGATTTAATATCTATCTCAGTGTACCGATTTGCATATTGATAAATTGTCACCCTTTCCTTATTCCGGAACTGGTGAATTTTGTGGCTGAGTTCAAGGATCCCGGAGCTAAACACATGTCACTATTAAGTGAATCAAATAAAAAACAATCTGTGTGTTAACATGTGGCTTTTCAAATTATGTTTTTGCTTAAATTTTGCATTGCAAGTGTCACATTCAAATGGATAAATATCCGAATGTGTTAGTTTGTGAATCTTTAAATCGGCTTTCCATTTAAATTTTGATTTGCAAGTGTCACATTCAAAAGGATAAATATCCGAGTGTGTTGAAATGTGCCTTTGTAAATTACTTTTCTTCAAATTTTGCCTTGCAAGTGTCACATTCAAATGGATAAATACCCGAATGTGTTAGTTTGTGTATCTTCAAATCGCGTTTCCGTTTAAATTTTGATTTGCAAATGTCCCATTCAAAAAAATTAAATATCCAAGTGTATCAATATGTGTTCCTTCAAATCGCCTTCTCTTTTCAATTTTGCATTGCAAATGTTACATTTGAAATTCTCCTCATCCGAGTGTGTTAATATATGGCTTCTCAAACTACGTTTGTGTTCAAATTTTGCATTGCATGTGTCACATTTAAAAGGATAAATATCAGACTGTGTTAGTTTGTGTCTCTTTAAACAGTCTTTTCCTTTGAATTTTGCTTTGCAAATATCACATTCAAAAAGATAACTATCGAAGTCTGTTGATATGTGACTTTTCAAATTACCTTTTTGTTTAAATTTTCCTAATTTAAATTTTTCTTTAAATTTTGCATTGCATATGTTGCATTTAAAATTCTTCTCGTCCAAGTGTGTTAGTTTGTGTTTCTTCAAACGGCCTTTTTTTTAAATTTTGCTTTGCAAATGTTGCATTTAAAATTCTGATTCTGCTTCTAAAATGATAATTTAGACTGAAGTGCCCTTTTTTGCGCATAAAAAATTTATTCAATTGATTTTGACCCCCCCTACATATTTTTCTGCGGGCGCCCCTGTACATACTACCTAAAAAAATTATTCACAACCTTGTTATAACTTTCTTTAATAATCCAATCAATTAATTATATGTATATACCAATATTCGATCGTCTATACATATAGAAGTAAAATCAATATTGATAAAACTTAATTTAATAATCGTAAAAAAATTTATCTTTATCAGGTTCTTTGATATTTGCTTTCAAACACCAAAATGTTTACCAATTAATAACGTTGAAAGGTTTTTAGTTAATCAATTAACTCTATAGTTATTTATTTATATAACGCACAGGACAAAATATGTAGGTAGGTACATTATTTTTTGCCTCGTAAAATTAAGTGCTTCAATGCAGGGTAGAATACAGTAATTTTCTTTTTGGGTGCGGTAAAATACAAACTAACCCAACTATAACAAAAAATTTAATGACCTAAGTTACTTAGTTCGAATCTATATTATCCAGGGTTATAGGTACATTTATTACTCTATGGCAAATTAATGGCCCAAAGTTTTAATATTATAGCCCTTGGCTGTCAATTTAGAAAATTAAAATAATGAGTATTGACCTATAAGGTTCACGTAAATATTGTCAACACAATTTTATGGAGTTTTATCAAAACCTAGATAAGTATTGTTGTTGAAGTTCATCCTTTCCCTAACAATTATTGTAGTCCAAACTTTTCAAAACCAAATTAGAGACATCTATAATGAGGTAGGTACCTACCTACATACTTATACAAATTATGATTTTATCAACAAGAACAACGATTATATAAATATAAACGCAATATATACAAGAAAATTTATTATAATAGAAACATATAGGCATTTTATATTACATATTTATATGTGATTAATGGTTTTTCATTTATTTGTTTCAGAACGGGTAGCATTGAAAGGCTCGACGAGGACAACAACCTCCGAAGGATAATAACTAGCTATAATCAGAATGAGGATAACATCAATGTTGTTGTCAGGTACTAACTATATTTCAATTAATTTTTGTTGCTAATTGCACGCGATTTATGTATATTATGGTCAGTTCAACTAGAATGCTTTGGCGAGGCTGAAGAAAATGAAAATAGCGTGCAAAATGATTTGACTTTATGACTAATTAATTCGACTTTTCAAATATTTTTATTATGTTAATGTAAAAAAAGGACTCTCCATTTCATTTGGTTATTTTGGAGTTTTAATTGGAAGTTAGCTACGCAGTTGGTTGGAACAGCTTTATCGATCATTTTATTTTAATTATTTCGAAGAATACATGAATCACAGACGACGTACCCTTGTAATAATTTTTAGGAAAAAACACTGCAAGGACACAATTAAAGGTCAATTCACACATAGCAGTGACGCGACAGTGCCGTGACCGACACGTGATTTCAGCGGCCGTAAACTCACAGCGATTTCTATTCATATTGGTCAGTGTTTCATCAGTGCTGTGTCAGTATAGTTTGTAGCCAAATGGAAATATTTTCAGATGAAGAACTTTTGTAGATCGCACTGGTTTTGGACGAAGAAATGGAAGAACAAGTAGAAGAAAAGGTAGAAAAACGACACTGGGTCCATCTTGCATAGAAAAAGAGAGGTATAGAAGGGGAATTTATAACAATATACAAGGAACTAGTAGACGATGCAGCAAAATTTATTGAATGCCTACTTTAGGATGTCAGAAAATGCGTTCAACCTATTGTTGTGCAAGATAGAAGTTCATTTGAAAAAGCAAGACACCCTCCAAATAGCATTCTTGAAATCGAGAGTCCATGTATTTTGAGCTGCACCAGGTCATACAGAACGGGATAACCACGGAACAACTCAATTGACAATTTGTACGGCCGTGAAAATCCAAAAATATCGTCAGGAACTAATATAACGATCACGTTACGGTGACAGCACTGTCACAGTCGCACGTCGGGCAGATGGAAATAGGTACCATCAAATTCCTAGGAGAATAATTTTGAATTCGCCGGTGAAATCACGTGCAGGTCACGGCACTCTCACGTCACTGCTATGTGTGAATCGAACTTAACTATACATGTATTTGATTTTTTTTCTAAATTTTGCCCTTTGGGCTACAGAAATAAAATGGTGCTGGTATTTTCTGCAAGCAAGTTCTTTGTAGGTAGGAGATGATTGTCCTTTTGCACTTCACAACTGAAAATTTATTCATTATTTTATTGATATTCAAGTTCGAATGGAGCTGTTAGTGAGTAGAGCTGGGTTATGATGGTGGCTTTGGTATGGTTCTGGGCTTGGTAAAGATGATCTTTATGTTAACTAACATAATTGTTCAAATAAAGACACAGTTCTTCACAAAAATACGTATATCATAAAAATCTCAAATGCCAATCGCTCGAGTATACATTCAGAAACGAACTACCTGGGTCTTAATTTCTCAAGACCTTTCTAACCTTATCCTATTTTCTAGCATTATAGAAAGTTCCCTTAAGTTGTTTATTGCACCGTTTATGGCACGGTCTTTAGGGTGGCGTCGTCGCCCGCATTCTTTTAAAATTGCTACCATGGTCTCGCCTCGAGACTTACTCCACGAAACCTGCAGCAATACAACACAATATTAGTAACCTAATCTCCGAAGACGACCCAGCGAAACTTATTCTCCGCGGATCGTTTTCTTATCAGCTTCACCCTTAAGTCCTTTTTGAGATTCTCACTCATACTTGAACCAATCAAGCTTCGTTTTCGCGACTTTTCACAAACAGGCGATTCAACAACGTTTTGCTCCACTATCTTATCTTCAGGTTCTTCCAGTGACTTTCTACCCGAAAGACCTTCATCTCGTTGCAGAGCCTTTTCTCATATACCAGCACATCTTTTGTTTCCGAGTGACTTTTCACTCTCAATGCCGGGTAGCACTTTGCTACAGCATATTCTCACCAACAGAGCAACTTCTACTCAGCGACTTTTCGCTATTGTCGCCACCTACTTTTAGTGGCGCTAAACTTCTCGGAAAGAAACGACTTTTGTTCTCTAATATTGGTTGAGTAACAATAATCCTATAGATTCAGATCCTTCATCGGACAAAGTATCACTATCTTCTTCGAGTCGAGTCTCATAGAGCTTCAGTTTATCTACAGCCCAAATGCCACTATATTGTCTTCCTCGTTCATTTTCATCAGGCAGGCCTTCTATCAAGTATAGCGATCATAATCTAATACTTTTCTAATTAAATATGGTCCTTAGGTAATAGTTTTTACTCTTTCTATCATTCTGGGTATTTTGCTTCTAAATAAAGTACTAAATTGGCTTTTATTGATTTGATGCAATTGCTTCGGCTGCCTCTCGTCCATTTTCAGATAATTTGACGGAATTGGGGTCTACACAAACTGCAAAAGTTAAAAATGCATCGTTCACTCCTCTAAGTTGATAACCAAAAAGCATTTTATGAGGGCTTTTTTTGTAGCATTATTTACAGATGAGTTGATTCCAAATCTGATTCTATGTAATGTTTGATCCCAGGTATCATCTTCATCTGTGGAAGCTACTATTGCAGAAATTATTGTTCTGTGGCAGCGCTTGACTTGTCCATTTGCCCTCGGTGTTTTCGTGGCATTATACACAATCTTCAATCCAATTTCAGTTGCATATTTCTTAAATTCCTTACTAGTGAAGGCTGTTCCTTTATCGCAAATTGTTCTTGGCACACCAAAAGTATTGAAGATATCTTTCAGAAAATATATCACTGGCAAGCTTTTAGTGTTTTTCACTGCTTTCATGAAAACATATTTGGTGAAAGCATCCACAGAAAAGATGAAGTACATGTTGCCTCGCTTGCTTTTTACAAAAGGGCCTAAGTGGTCTATATGTAAGTATCCATTGGGGTGGGCTGTTTGTGTATGGGGTGTAAAAATCCCGGCTGTGGTCCACCACTACTTTTATTGTATAAACAGCTTAGACAACAACATATACATACAGGGTGTCTCACAGTGAATGGCGTATTAGACGTTAATGCAAAACTAAAAAGCGGATCATTTTGAAAATTTAGCAATCGGGATAAACGACCATAATCTACACTTTAAAAATATTTTTGTTTATGCAGTGTTGCCGCTTCTACTTTAAACCAGTGGAGCATCGCTATTTTAAATAGAACACCCTGTAGGTGATTGCATATTTGAATTCTACGTAAAATTCTGAGCAGATTTCGTGTGATATACCTTATACCTAAATTCAACTGTTTTGGAAATATTGACAGTTGAAAATTGACTTTTTGCAACTTTGACAGGCTGTAAAACCTGATCGGTTAATTTTAGAGGAAAACCGATTTTACATTCCTATCTTAGATTTTTATAAACTATCATTCGACACCAACTTTGAACCTAATCCATGATTAAAAATTCCAATTAAATTTAAGCTCCGGTTAAATTCAAAGTTGGTGTCAAATGATAGTTTATGAAAATCTGAGATAGGAATGTTAAATTGGGTTTCCTTTAAAATTAACTGTTTAGGTTTTACAGCCTGTCAAAGTTGCAAAAAGACAATTTTCAACTGTCAATATTTCCAAAACAGTTGAACTTAGGTATAGGGTATATCACATGAAATCTGCTCAGAATTTTACGTAGAATCCAAATATACAATCACATAAAGGTTGTTCCATTTAAAATAGCGATGTTGCCGCTGGTTTAGAGTAGAAGTGGCAACACCGAATGGTCAAAAATATTTTCAAAGTGTAGATCATGGTCGTTTAACCCGGTTGCCAAATTTTCAAAACGATCCTTTTTTTTAGTTCTCCATAAACGTCTAATATACCGTCCACCGTGGGACACCCTGATTTTTGCAAACGTGGAAACCAATAATTTTTTTTGAATCTGCGATATCGTTTTGTCAACCGCCAGATGTCTTGCTTAATCATGGAAGTAATTGGTAACCGCAAGGCGAGCTGATTTTGGTTCTACCCATTTTAACCTTTCACTTGTTTTCCGATATATCCTCCCATGGTTAATTTCGTACTCCTCATGAATACCACATTCTTCCTTATCAGCTGATGCTCTTGAAAGTACATCCTTCAAATACTGACAACGTTCTTTCTGGAGCTGTGCTGTCAAAACCCAATCACTTTCAGATATATTGATCGTTAAAATTTGCACTTCTTCATAACAATTGCTGGAATCATCTATGAGGTTTCTGCTTATGGTAAAGTTGAATTCTTGCGTGATCATCTATCAACGTCCAATTCTCGATATAATATCCGTCTTTGTCATAATAGTTAGCCGAAGTGCGTTGCAGTCAGTTAAAACCTTAAATGGCATCCCTAATAAATAAACTCGAAACCTTTGCATGGAATTCACTACAGCCATTGTTTCCAACTCGTATAAGTGGTAACGGTGTTCCTCCTTGTTGGTTTGTCTACTGAAATAGAGGACAGGTTTCACCTTGGAATCTGGTTGCTTTTGTAGTAAGATTCCGGCCACTCCATACTTAGATGCGTCAGTATGCAATTCAGTGATAAATCGCAAATACTAGTCGGGTATAAAGAATTTCTTTCAGACAAGTGAAGGCTTGTTGCTGTTCTTCATTCCAATTGAACACGGCGTCTTTCTTTGTGACTTGTGTCAGCGGTCTTGCAACAATTGCAAAGTCTTTGACGTATTTTCGAAAGTAACTTGCCAGACCCAAAAATTGCCGGATTTCATGTACATTCTTTGGAATGTCCTTTACTGCCGATGCCTCCTTTGACCATTTCATAGCCTGTCTGAAAAAATGGCACTTCGATAGCCGTAGGGCTATCCCCACACGTTGAAATAGTTGCAAAATGGTTTCAAGGGACTTTTAACCTGATGAAAAGTCAGTAGAAAGAATCAAAATGTCATTCTAGTAAGCAAGAGCGATAGTTAATCTTGAAGATCCCTAAATTTGGTTTACTGTTCTTTGAAAAGCTACTGAAGCATTTGCTAATCCGAATGGCATCCTCGAGTACTCGTTATGCCCATCTGGGGTTATAAAAGCAGTTTTTGCCATG